CCAAGACGGCCACTTTCCGGTGCCTAGTGTGGAGGTCGTGGACATTGGAGGCCTCCCCCCAAACCTCGATGAGGTCCACGCTCTCCACACTAGACCAGGTGGGTGCCCACCTCTTGTGGCCCCAGGCCGCCCTGGGGGAGCCCCCAGCCAGGTCTTGGGAAGAGACGGAGGGCTGGGTGGCTGCGAGTCACTGGCTCATGCCAGGCCAGGTGCAGGGTCTGCTGGCTGGGTGCTGGCAGGCTTGCACCTGGCACGGGCACCGTAGCCAGCCCGTGCCCCTTTAAAGGGTCCGGGGCCAGGAGGGGGGCATAAAGTTTCCCTGGTGTTGGCCAGTGTGGCCACCAGGGAAACCTGGGGAGGGCTAGCCTCCCACTAGTTCGAATTAAGGGTCTACACAGCCCTTAATTCGAACTAAGCGCTCCGCTAGTTCGAATTAAATTCGAACTAGCGGAGCGCTAGTGTAGCGCCTATCAAAGTTAGTTCGAACTAACGTCCGTTAGTTCGAACTAACTTTGTAGTGTAGACATACCCTATGTTATTTCAGAATTGCAGCACGACTAGCATAAATCAACCAGCCTCTTTCTTTTCCTTTTCCATTTCCTTTTTTCTCACAATCCTGTCATGAACCTTCCACTGAACCTATTGTATAGAAATCTTTTTCACTGTGAACTTTCTTCTCTTGGCATTACATTTTGGCCTGCCCCCAGAATTCACAGGAAGGAATTTTCTGCAAGCCAGTGTCATATCTTGAGAGGCATGAAATGAGCTCTAACTAGAGATTGCTATAACCAGAGTCTGAGATGGAAGGGCCACAGAGTAACTCTCACACCATCACTTAGATGGAAATTGCTGAGTATGATTATACATTCCACTAATGTCCAGTGCGAGAAGGTGGGTGGAGGATTTTCATGTCAGTGGACAATAGGGTGCCCAGATTGCAAATGTAAAAAGTCAGAACAGGGGTGAGGCGAGCCTATATAAGATAAAGCCCCTATATTGAAACTGTCCCTATAAAATCAGGACATTGTGGGTCTATGCTACAGGGCTTAACTTGAAATAAGCTACGCAAATTGAGCTATGTCAATTGCATAGCTTATTTTGAAATAGCTTATTATAAAATAGGGAGCATCTACACAACACTTACTTCGAAACAGAGCACTCTTCCTCCAACTTCCCTTACTCCTCCTACAATAAGGGTTACAGGTCAGAGTAAGAAGTTGTCCACCTTGACAGTATATTGACATTGTTTCAAAATAACTGCCTGCTGTGTAGATGAGGACGACATTATTTCGAAATAATGTTGCTGTGTAGACGTACCCCTAGTCACCTGAGGAGAAGGGAGCAGGCTTCCTGATGGCCACTTTCTACAGAGTTTTCTTACCCAAGCTACTGGCACTTTCTCACAGAGCTCCATGCCTTTCTTTTCAGGTGTATGAAAGAGGCACCAATGTGGACCAGTTTGTGACCCGTTTTCTATTGAAGGAGACTGCCAACCAGATCCAATCTCTGCTGAACTCTGTGGAGAGTGCGGTTGATGCCATTGATGAACAAACCAATCAGATCAGGTTGGTGATATGTTCTTGTCTTCTGCATTCTGCGCCCTACTGCTGCTCTTCTGGTTTAACCTGTTTTGTTTGTTAGCCAGCCTTTTCTACTACCAAGGTGCTGCTGGGGGATGCTTATATAGTCTGTGTCTTGAACTGGTGTGGCCAACTTTTTCAAACACTTTTTACTTCATGGTGTATCATGGAGCAAGCAGTGAAGTAAAACTAGAAGCTCAAACTAGAACTAGGAAACACAGGTTTATTTGGGTGAGTTGGAAATATGCTTCACAGAGTGAAAATTGTGATGTTCAGTCCCATGCAGAGGGGCACCACCTGACCTCCACTTAAGCAGAAGCCAAACACCACGTAAGAGCTCAATGTGATTCTTCCCAGTGTGCTAGAGAGAACAGCACGTTCTCCTCTCCGTGGCTAGCCACTGCTGAGGTCATGTCATCATTGTCTCACTCTGTCTCTTTCGAAGTAGCTTTAGTCCCAGCCTGCGAGACAGGTAAAGCAGAGATTGCAGAGGAAAGGCCCCTCTATTGGGGGAGGAAGAAGGAAAGAAGAAGGTTCCATGATCCCACCATACTCATACCTGCCAAATTCTGGCCATTAGGGTTGCATGCGAGCACTGAGCTCTGCAAGGTAGCATGTTTTGGGGCTGTGGACTGTGTACATTGACTTGGAAACTTATGGCTACACCTAAGGTCTGCTCTGCAGACAGTAATCTTCTATAAGAAAAGAAATAGCATTGAGGTAGATGCTAACACAGAATTCAATGGCACTTGCAAATAAATGCAATAAAAATGCAGATCATGTCTAAGATCTCATCTATCTCGACAGCATACCTTGCAGTCTGTTTATATATAAATAATGATTTATAAAAAGACTTCAGGCGCTGCTACCCAGGATTTTGCTGACCCTAAAGCTTTCAATAACATTACTCTTTGCAAGGCGGCATTAGGAAAAATAAATCAATGGGGACATGGCTGTATGGTCAATAGTTAGTTGATGCAACCAGGCAAACAAAAGTGCTTTCATTTAAAGTATCTAATTTACTTGCTCTCCAGCACCTACATATGTCCACAACAGCGTAAGAGAGCACTCCAAATCACACCCCCACCCTATCGTATCTACCTAGGGCCTTGAGGAGATCTCGACTAAATAACTACAGTCTACCAGTGGCCAGCTTTCTGTTTGCTGAGGAACTTGAGAGGTGTTCAAGTGTCCCCCAAGCTCAGATTTTTTCCACTCTTTATATTCAGTTTGTTACATTACATCAGCTTGCTCATCCAAAAAAGTGCTGAGCAGAAGCAGTTTTTCACATAGCAATAGCTAATTATTGCCAGACTTTCCATCTTGCAAAACTCTCAGATTCCCAGCCTTTAATTTATATCAGATTGCACAGACAGCAGGATAATGCCTACCTACTGACTTCTCTTGGCATAGGTATGCCATAGGCCAGGGATGTGATCTGCCAGCAAAGTGTAGGTGGAGCTATATCGGCAAAACTGTGGTTTTAGATAGAGTGTACTAGAAGACTTACCTGGCATTGCTCAGGTCCTTCAGAAAGGGGCTGGTGCTGTGGGAGGTAGGGGTCAGGACAGGGGTTGGGGGCTCAGGAGAGGTATTGGGAAGTGTAGGGGGGGTTCAGGGCATGGGGGGGCAGTGCAGGAATCAGAGTAGGGGTGGGGGACTCAGGCAGGGGGCTGGAAATCAGGGGTGCTCACTAGGCCTACTCCCCAGGGAAAAGCCGGGGAGCCAGTGTTGCATGACCTAGCACCCAGTGGCGTCCGTCAGGAGACGGGAGGGAGGCGGGGCTGCACAGCCTGGCTTTGGTCCCCAGAGGTGCTGCTTTGGGATGGCCAGGCTCCTGGCTGGCAGGACTTGCCCCTCCCACTCAATCCAGCACTGTGCAGGTCTGGCCACACTGTGGGGAGGGGGGGATTCGGAAGATACCCTCTTTTGGAAGCCCCTTACTCCTTGTAAAATGAGGTGTACAAGGGGCTTCCAAAAGAGGGTCTTTTTTGACATTTGGCCCTGTGTAGATGGGCCAAATATAGAAAAAGCCTCTTCCAGAAAAAGAATCAGAAGAAGATATGCAAATGTGAGTTCAATTTGCATACCTTCTTCCGAACCCCCCCCCCCCCCCAGTGTAGCTGTACCCTGACTAAAGGCTGTGGGGAGGGGTTTGGTGCACACAAGTCCCAGCCCCAGCTGGCCAGTCTCTTACAGGTACGGGGGAGGGCCGTCACACTCCTTATCCAGCTTCCAGCTCCCTGCAGACTGCTGCGTTTAGCAGCAGGAAGTCAGCCAGGTTAAAGAGGCCAGGTGGGGGGGTT